AACTAAAATAGCTGACATGAAAGAGCTTCCAACCAGTGAGTGGTGATATACTGTTGTGTTTCCAATGGGTTGAGAGTGACTTCAATTCCCTCAGTCGCTGGTGGGTGGAGGGGCAGGACAGCATCTGAGGCTTGTATCTTCTTGCAGCTAAGAAACTACTTCCACAATTTATCATACAAATAACACATGTCCCTGGCTCAAGGCTCCTTGATGAATGAAAATGAAGAAAACATATGGACATTTACGGCATGCTGATAAAGCAGTGCGCAGAAGGAAATTTATAGCTCTAAATGCCTAAATCAAGAAAGAAGACCTCAAAAACCTAACTTTCCACTTTAAGACACTATAAAAAGAGCCAACTAAACCTAAAAGAAAAAGGAGAAGGGAATAATGAAGATTATAATAGAAATTAATGCAAAAAAAAAAAGTATCAGTAAAGCAAAAGGTGGGTTTTTAAACATCAGAAAACATAAATTTTTAGCTAGATGGAGTAAGAAAAAGATAGGAGATTCCAATTACTAGAATCAGAAATGAAAGAGGGAATACTTTATGGAAATAAAAAAACATTATATAACATTATAAACATTATACTTTATGGAAAAATATAAATTAACTGTATGCCAGTAAATTAGATAACTTGAATGAAATGGCCAAATTACTGGAAAGATCCCAAATACCAAAAGTGACAAGGAACAGAGGATCTGAATGGATCTATAACAAATAAAAAGACTGAATTAGTAGAGAATTATCCATAAAGAACAGCCCAGCCCCAGACAGCTTCACTTGTAAATCCTACCAAACACTTAAAGAATACCAATTCTTCATACCTTTCCAAAAAAATTCAACAAAAATAAAAACAAAGAAATGAAACCAGAGACCACCTCCAAACTCATTCTATGAGGACAATATAAAATCAGATAAAGAATTCACAAAAAAGGATATTAGTAGACCACTCTTTCTTACATAGATGCAAAAATCCTTGACAAAACACCGGAGAAGTGAATCCAGTAACAAATAAAAAGAATTATACATCATGAGCAAGTGCAAATTATGCCAGGAATGCAAGGCTGGTTTGACACCTGAAAATTAAAGAATGTAATACACCATAACAACAGGATAAAAAGCAAAAATCCCTTATGATCATCTCAACAGATGCAGAGAAATTGTTTGACAAAACCCAACACCTTTTAACGATGAAAACACTTAACAAGCTATAAATAAAAAGGAACTTCCACAAGTTGGTTAATAGGCATCTACAAAAACCCCAGAGCTAGCATTGTACTTGGTGAAAGATAGAGGCTTTCCTACTAAAATCAGGAAGAATGCAAGGAGTTATACTCCTGCCAATTCTATCCAACACTGCACTGAAGGAGAGAGGGTAATTAGGTAAATAAATAGCATCCAGATCAGGTAGAAATACAATTATCACTATTTGCAAATGACATGATTTAAAAAAAAATTTTTTTTAACGTTTATTTTTGAGACAGAGAGAGACACAGCATGAATGGGGGAGGGTCAGAGAGAGAGGGAGACACAGGATCTGAAACAGGCTCCAGGCTCTAAGCCATCAGCACAGAGCCTGATGCAGGGCTTGAACTCATGAACCGCGAGATCATGACCTGAGCCGAAGTCGGATGCTTAACTGACTGAGCCACCCAGGCACCCCATGACATGATTTTATATAAAAGAAAATCTAATAAACCCAACAAAAAACCATTAGAATAAAGTACAGCAAGGGTGCAGCATAGAAGATTAACATATAAAAAAAAATCAATTGTCTTTATATACTTAAATAATCCAAAAACAATTTCCTTTATAATAGGGTCAAAAATAATAAATTAAACCAAAGCAGTTTAAAATTTAAACTTTGGAAACTATAAACTATTGTTAAAAGAAACAAAAGATCTAAATAACTAGAAAGACATTCTACGTTCATGAACAGGAAGACTCAACACTGTTAAGATTGCAACACTCTCCAAATGGACCAGATTCTACACAATCTCTGTCAGAATCTCAGCTAGAGATACCTGCAAAATCTTTGCAGAAAATGACAAATTCATCCTAAAGGTCATATGGAAATACAGAATAGACAAAATAATCTCAAAAAAGAACATTACTGGATGCTTAAAACATCATACAAGGCAAAACCAAACAAAAACCCACTTCATACAAGGCAATGGTAATCAAAATAATGTGGTACTAGCATTAAGTACATCAACGAAATACAACTGAGATTCCCAAAATAAACCCATGTATCTATCTACGGTAAAGTGATTTTCAAAAAGGTACCAAGAACACTTAATAAGAATAGTTTCTTCAGCTGAAGAATTGGACAACTGAATTGTCAAATGAAACAAGTTGAACCCTTATATCATATTGTGAACAAAACTCAACTGAAAATACATCAATGACCTAAATGTCAAAGGAAAAACTATGGAAGTCTCAGGAGAAAACGTGGGGATAAGTCTCTGACTTTGGACACCAGATTCTTGGGTATGACACCAAAAGCACAAACAAGCATCAACAACAAAATAAACTGAATGATAGCAAAAGACAGTATCAAGGAAATAAAAATACAAATCCACATAATGGGAGAAAACATTTGCAATCATATATATAAGGATTTAACATTTAGAATATACCGGTAGCTCTTACAACTGAAAAGATAAACAGCCCAGTTAAAAAAGGAGCAAAAGACTTGAATAGACTTTCCTCTAAAGAAAATCAACAAACAGCTAATCAACAAATGAAAATATGCTCACAACTCATTAGGAGGGAAGGGTAAATGAAAGCAACATGAGATACCACTTTACCCCCACTAGAAGGACTGTGTGTGTATGTGACAAATAATAAATACTAGTGAGAATGTGAAGCAACTGAAACACATATACATTGCTGGTGGGAAAATAAAATGGTGCAATCACCGTGGGAAGCAGTTTAGTGGACCCTCAAAAATCTAAACACACAATTACTCTATAATCCAGCAATTCCACTCCTATGAATATACCTAAAACATTTGAAAACAGGAACTCAAACAGATATTTGTACAACTTTAGTTATAGCATTATTCATAGTTGCCAAAAGGTGGAAACAACCCTAGCGTCAAAAATCTAGGTGAAACAAAATGTGTTTACTTTAGACTATTATTTAGCCATAAAAAGGAATGAAGTTCTGACACACGCTGCAAGATGAAAGAACCTTGAAAACATTATGTTAAGGGAAAGAAGCCAGTCACAAAAAAGCACCTATTATATGATCCTATTTATATAAAATGCCTGGAATTGGCAAATCTAAAGAGAAAGAAAGTCACTTAGTTGCTCAGGACAGGGTAATCTAAGTTTGTTAGGAAAAGGGTATAGGGTTTCTTTTTGACGTGATGAGTATGTTCTAAAATTGCTGATGGTTGCATAATTCTGTGAATATACTAACATATACTAACATAGCTGTCCTTGAAAACAGAAAACAAACTTCTCCCTTGACTCCATATGCCTGGCCAAAACTGGCCCCAATCGACTTCCTTCTATCTCCACAGCCTTCTTTTAGGTTTAGAAAATCTCTTAAAAGAGTTGTTTACCCTCATTATTTTCACCTCATTGTCACAACTCAATGTAACTCAACTCTACTTGCCTGCAAGAGTAAATGCTACGACCTTAAATATTTGCTGTGACTAAGTCATAAAAATAAGTGCAACCAACTGAACTAGTAAGTTCTGACAATCTACCAGGTACTAGAAGATCAAATAGGACAAGATATCTTCCCCTTTCTCAAGGGAAAACAATACCAAATGAACAGATGAGAAACACATTGGTCTAAAAATTAAAATGAGCCAGAAGATATCTGCTTCATATTGGGTTATCTAAAAGATCTTCCCAGCAAGTGAAGTTTGTGTTAAGATTCTTAGTATCAAGGACCCAGCCGTACAAAGGTAAGAAAGCAGGCAGGCAGAGGGAAAAAGCAAGTGCAATGGTAACAGGCTGAGATGTTGAAGGAACTGCATGAAGTCCAGTAATTGACCAGGGAAACCGAGGGTCAAGGTGAGGTCCCAGAGGTAATGAGGGGCGGGCTAGGGGCAGACCTGTATGGCTTTTTGTAAGGCAGGGTGAGAAGCTGCAACTTGCTTCTTCCTCCATCTCATAATACTCTGTGCACATCTGTCCTGTTACATGTCAACTTGTGTCTCTACCTTAAACTGTGCCTGCCCTACAGAGAACGAAAGGTTTTATTTACCACTATCTAACCAGTGCCTAGCCAGGATCTGAACTGATGTCTCCTGTATGATTAGTCCCATCATCATGCTGTGATAAGACAAAAATCCTAAATCCTGAGGAAGGAAAAAACAATTCTTTTCTATAGTCAGCGTACAAATGAAAGCCAGGCAATTTTCACTCAAATTCCTCAGACTAGCCTGGTTATTTCTACCAGAGACTGTGATGTTTCCCAAGTTTCAGTCAGTTAAAAAGAACATCTTCCAAACTTAATTAAACTCATTTCCACAATCTGAAACGTAAAACTGCCAGCAGAAAACAGCTTTAGCTTCTCTGATTACTGTATGGTTGTCATTAACTGCCGAGTCTCTACCTCAAGCCTATTCCCTAAGTATTCTAAGACATTGTGCCAAATTGTAGCTACCTCAACATAAGTGTTATAATATATGGAAATGGAAAAGCTATTAAGTTACAATTCTAGAAACTGAAATAGGATCAAGCACTACCTTCTAAATAACATATAATGCATGTTTTCCTTTTAAATGACTTACCAACATTTAATTGCCTAATAATTAGCTTCTCATTTGCATGTTAGATTTTCTGTTCGTACTACACAGGGATTCTGCTACAGTTCTATTTACGGCATCCTTATCTAGAAAGGCATACAATAATTCTAGCACAGTTCAGACAAGCCTGGCCAAATAACAGTTTCAGAGTATAAAACCACACAATGCTGCAAATAAACAAACCGGGTTTCTTTGAAAGGGGAGAATTTTTTTTTTTTAAGTGCCTTACTGTGGCCTTGAGGCTTCAGCCTGGTCTGTCTGCAGTTTTTCTCCTCCTTCCACTTCCATTGTACAATAAACAATTCGATTGGGAGCAACAGACTTCAAACCTTGAACTTCCATGATGACAATCTAAAGATAAAAAAAATGTAAATGATACATCAAGTTGGCAGCCTTTAGCAATATACAGAGATAGCAGCATTGACTACAATTAGAATGACCAATTGAATAAATTATCTGGTAACACCAATGGTATTTTTTCTTCCTTAGAATCCACCTGTATTCGTGAAAGGTAAAGTAAATAACATTCTGAAGAATGTTCAATATTTCTGAATGTTCAATATTCTGAAGAATGTTCAAGATTTCTTCAATATTGGAGTTGAAGAATATTGAAGAAATTGAATAAATTTTGAAGAAATTGAAGAAATATTGGCTATTGAAGAAATCTCTCCTGCCAGCTATTACAGTAAGGTTAAATTCTCTAAATATAAGCCCTACTGAATTAATAAGTGAGGTATACACTCAGATCCTTAAAAAACGATGGCAAGTCTGCATCAGGTAAAGCAGAATGACCAATGAAATCTCAGTGAATGTGCTAAAACATGTACAGGTTGAGTTCCACATAAAGTGGAATACGATTTATGAGTGGTACACATCATCATAATACCAATTCACTGTTATGAATATATGACATCAGAATTTTCTATATTCACTTATTTTAGATGACTACTACTATTTATAGAAGAATATGCATTATAGCAGATGTATGTATTATGAAATATGGAAAATTTAACTTGCCAATGAACATCTTTCTACTAACTTCACAAGGAAAAAAAGGACTTCTTCATCCACTAAAAGTATGTGCTAATTTAAGGCAGTTTACTGGAAAAGGGTAGAAGGTGATATTATTTTATGCATCTATAAGTCCTGGAAAAAAGGGAAACAATTTTTTTTCAAGTGAGCCTTTTATACTCATATAAAAGGCTACTGATTTTAAAACACTGTAACCTAATGTTTTCACTGGGTATACACATAAAATATGATTATTGAATATTACATGCTATAGCTTTTTCAACCAAAACTTGCAACCCAAAAGTTTCCTCAGTTCTCAAATTGCATAAAATATATTCAATGGCATTTTCATAATATACATTCATGTCTTTACTGATCTCGTGTTGTATTTGTACAAACAAGATAAACAGCATTCATGCCAAGTAGCTACCAAAATATCCACTAAAAAATCATATATTGATCACTTAATGCATTATTAAATCATTACCCCTTTCATGAATTGTGATATGAATCTGGAGGCAAAAGGTCTCAAGCCATCTTAAAAAAACTATTTTTCCTTTCACTCTCCAGCACAACAGAAGGATTATGTTCATAAATACAAATGCCAAATTTGTTTTTCACAAAAAAATAGGAAACTAATCACTAAAAAAGGTCAAACTCTGAACCATTTTCCTCCTCAATCAAGACTTTTGTCATTTTATTGCAATGAAATGCATACCAAGTCACGAATAAAAATAAGGACTTAACTGAAAACAGACTAAGAACTAATAGATAACAGAATTATCTTTCACAGCTTCCCTAATACATTCAAGGAAGTTGAAGTAAAGCACTTCATCTTATTGATGTAAAGTAAGCAAAAGAAGGTATATATTCTTAATAAATCAGCTTCATTGTTAATCATTTTGAAACTCGTTAGAACTAAGCAGAAACTAAAACAAATGAGATCTGTAACCCTATCGATCAACAGCCAACTCCACATGGACTTACTACCATGACCCTAATGACTTCTTTTTTTGGTCATTTGTAAACTTTTTTTTTTCTTTTTTTAAGTTTATTTGAGAGGGAGCTCGAGCAGGAGAGAGCAGAGACAGAGGGAAAGAGAGAATTCCAAGCAGGCTCCTCACTGTCAGAATAGAGCCTGATGGAGGGGCTCATACTCACTAACTGTGAGATCATGATCTGAGCTAAAACACTTAAACGACTGAGCCACCCAGGTGCCCTGACCCCAATGACTTCTAAATAAAATTTTTGGAAGATGACTTAAAATATAGGAAGCAACAGAATCAGGTACACATGATAAATCTAGAAATGTTTTAGTTCCTATTTGGGAATAGGTTTATTTGCACTGCATCTCTTTCTACAGTGTGTTTAATAGTCAAAGTTCAAAAAAGAAGAAAGGGAGCATATGCTTAACACTATTTCTGTCACCTCTACTACAAGCTACTGTAAACAGGACCTCCTGAAGCATACGACTCAGGAAACTGTTTTCCGCTCTGCCAAACAATACTCCCATCTGTGCCGGGAAGGTTTTATTCTGCAGAACTGCCACTCTCAAAAGAAGGAACTTCTGTTTGGAATCCATACATATACACAAAACAACACAATTCTGCAGCTCTGGTTTCCAAAAGGAGAAAAAAAAAAAATACAGCTAGTCTCAATCATTAATGATAAAGACAGCCCAGAATCCCAAAAACCATCAACTAACCTAATTTTAGGTAACGGTTTCTACCAATTCCCTGCAAGACTTGACAATGCAACTAGAGAAAATAAAACTAGTCTAAATTTCATCTTCTCTTCCCCAATCTCTCCGTGACTGATATGATAAAGATAAAATATACAGAGTTATTCTAGAAGCAAAAAGAAGGGAGGCACGTACAAAATATAAAGCTTGGTAACATGCTTCTGAATTGTCCAGAGTTCTGTGGCATCAGGGTGTGGGCAGGTTTGAGAAAACAAAGCTGAGCAGTATATGGGGACCACATATACCAGAGAAAGAAGTCACAGGGTCTGCAAGCCGAAAACCAGTGAAAACCAAGTGTTCTCATGCCAGCGAAAACCATTCCTCTTCTCTTATGACATGCAGATGCCACTTCATAGATGAACATCTGTTGTCCTCCCCTGATTTGAATATTTAATTTCAGAATCCCATTGTATGGCTTACAGTTTTGTGGCTTAGCTGGTCTCTTGCTTTACTATTCTCTCTGAACTGAAGGCTTCACGAATGGAGAGACCTGAAAGTAATCATGTGTGGCCAACTGCTGCTTTTTGAACCACCAAAGTCCCCAACTCAATCAGTACTTATCAAGCCAGTTGTGTAGCAGGCAGTGTTTTAGGCTCGTGTGATGCCTCAGTAAACAAAAGACCTCAACTTCCCATAGCTTACACTGTAGTAGAATAAATCAGATAATGAATAATAAACATAATAACTGAATTATACAGTAGGTGGTTAAGAGCTGTGGCAAAAATTCAGCTTGAAAACAGAATAGGGTGGGGTGAGAGAAGAGAGCAGTCAGCAGCAATTTTCAGGAGGGTGATAAAATATGAGTTTTTCAAATCTGCACTTACCCTTTAGACCCAGACTTCAGTTCCTAGAAAAAACCTTTCTCACTAGACCAATTCTAAGCTTGACTGATGAAATGTGAGACCCTTAAAGTGGATTAACTACTTGCCTTTCAGAATTTTCTTAGGCTGAGAAGCAAGGCTTGGATAATGGGCCAGGGATAATTATGGAGTTTAGCTAGGCTGAGGTCAGAGGCCCTGGGGACGGAGGGGGACGTGTCTATTCTCTAAGGGGTCTACAGATACATACTGTGTATGTAGTTTGCACTGAATGTGATTTCATTTTGTTGTTGAACACACATCTCCTATTTATAATACTGGGGGCATCATGGAAAAGATCTGTATTATGCTAAGGAAGGAAAATATCTGCCTTTATACACATAGCAATAAAGAACATCAAAATAATTTTATAAATATACAAGCTTCTCAGACCACACAAAATGAAGTTTTAACTCCTATTCTCCCCCAATGCCATTTTACTGCTACATGCTCAGCCCTGTTTAAGACACTGGCGATGAAGCATAGAACAACGCATGGTTTCACACAGACACTAACTCACGAACATGATTTTGTTTTTAAGTAGGGAAAAAGTCCGTAAGAGCCAATTATTTACTATTGTTTACAGTTTTTTAAAGAATAGAGAAAAGAGATGACGTTCTGAACTGTTTCCAGTTCTGCGTGTTTATATAATGGCAGATTTATACATGACAAAAATAAGCTGCTTTACAAATTATAATAAACTCATTTTGTTTCATACAAAGCCTTAAAAAAAACTGGGCACTTTATATCTTGGTCAATAGGAAAACTGAGACAGGTATGCTAAGAAAATTCGACATGTAAGATACTGTGTATTTTCCCTTTAAATATCTCTTTAAGATATTGGAGAGATTGAGAAGAAACCCAGTAATGACAAGAGACTGAGAAGAAAGGCAACAATGGCACAATCATTAGGGAACCCCAGAACTGAGGCTTGAGTCAGAAGAAAACCTATCTCTACTCTGATAGTACATTTAATCTGTTAACCTACACAGAAATCATTAGCCTGGAAGTCAAGAAAGAGAGAGGCAGTTGGCTTATCCTGAAGCCTGAATTTACCTTAGAGTTGAACAGGTGGAGGAAAGAACAAAAAGCACACATTTTTCTGCCACAACCTAAGCGAGCCAAGAGTAAGAAGTATCAACAGGGAAATTTAAAACGGTACCTCCTAAGACTCCATGTACTTTTCTCTGTCAATCCACAAACTCAAATAGCAGTACTGGGTACCAGCAAAGTGACAATTTAACAATGCAAGGAAGGAGTTACAAGTTTTAATTTTTGAGAGAGCTATAAATTTAACCTTGATATTGTGTGTCTGTTTTACGTATAAATACATCAAAATATTACGTGGATTAGCTCAAATACACAGATTAGCAATGAAAAAATGTAATCATGAAAAACATCAAGTGGTTGTGGCAATAAGAGTCCGTATCAATAACTGGTTTCCAGTGAATTATATAAAAATGATGAAACTCTGAAGTCTCAGGAAACACATATTATTTATCTTTTTACAATGTATTTATTTTTGAGAAGGGGGGAGGGGGGAGAGAGGACACGCATGAGCAGGGAAGGGGCAGAGAGCGAAGGAGAGAATCCCAAGCAGGTTCAGCACTATCAGCACAGAGCCCATCACAGGGCTCAAGTGAGATCATGACCCGAGCCAAAATCAAGAGTCAGACACTGAAACTGAGCCACTCAGATGCGCCTCCAGGAGGACAATTTTAAATGTGTCACATCTGTTCCTGGTCCTTAAAATATTATCTATAACAAAAATGGACATCCTGGAAAGGAATAACTACTTATCATCTATATTCACCCAATATTGTGTTTCAAAGCTAGATGGTGTGAGTTGAGGCTAGAAAAACACAAGTGAGGTAGATTAAAAACAAAGCTAAACCAAAGCCTGAAAGCAATTCCCAAATCAGAGATTTAAATCATGTGTTTAAAGAGTGCTTTGGTGTTTAACTTTATCAATAAACGTACACCAGCCTAGTACACCAGCACAAGATGACTTCCCTCAAAACTCATTTTATTATTTAATCCTAAAACTGCTGTTAGGTTTAAAGAGCAATTTGCATTAATTTGCATTCACAACCTGATTGTCTAGCAAATGAAGAATAATGTAACTTCTTCAAAATATATTACACTGCTTTAAATTCAAAGAGTTACCACGAAGGTCAGCAGAAATTATTTTGCAGCCTCATTCAGGCTGTCAGAGGTGAGTATGGGATAAAGACACTTACCTCCAAGGTGAATGACAGCACTACGTCAGATTTTGACAGCTGAATCTCATTCTCATCTCCAATGTCCAAAAAGGCAGAATTCTGTGAACGTTTTAGTTTTTGTAGTTTAAATTCCGGACCACCTTTTGAAACTGGAAGACTCTCCAAATTGGCCATTAGCAAATTCACTGAAGATCGCAACTCTTCTATATACATATTCTCCATTTCTTTTGCTATGAATTTGGGGAAGTTTCTTTCCTTGAAAATAATTTTAAAATAACGTTACAAAAGACATATTTCAATTTTATCATAAAAGATCACATGATGTATATATTTGACTCTCAGAAATTATGATACTCAGTATAAATGCAGCTACCCAATACTTGAGTCTTCAGGCTTTAAAATCATGAGGCTTTGGCAATTTTGATTATGTATAAGAGTACCCTACTCATATCCCTTACTCAGAATCATTATGGTACAAGATGAATTACATTTTCAACATTAACTTTATTTTTGATAAGGTTTTGCTTAAGTAAAAACTGGAAACCTACATGAAAGAAACTTTAGTGTGTGTATCAATCTTAATTAGCCACTGGTAACTTTGAAATGCTTGGGGTAATTGGTCGGTAAGAAAAATGTTCAGTACAGGATGCCTTGCCTGTTGGGAAACAAACATTTTAAATCTCTCCCTTACCACAGATGTGTATTATTGAGAAGATATCCTTTTTATAAAATAAGCATTCAAATTAAAAAATCATGTGAAATAGCAATATGATATTTCTAGAATTTTCACATCTACATATAAAAGAATAATATCAACTTAGAAGAGTCATTTTCTTTTTGGTCACATGAGCACTGACATTTGATCCTTCTATCTCTGCCATCAGATTTTGGTTTCTTTCACTCGATGAAAAGGACATTCCAAGTATCAGTATTCCAAAAAATATTGACAGACATTGCCAAATTGCCCTTAGAGAAGATTATAGCCATTCATATTACTACAAACAGCAAAATGAGACTTCCTCCCGCTACTGGCTCTTCCTTAACCCTTGACAATTGGCATTAGCTCTTTCCTTAGAGGTAGAGAGTTTATAATGGTATCAAGTATGACATACCATATCCACCTACTGCACAAAACTGGCTGGGAATGAAAGCCTAAAGCAGCTACCTTTCAAACAGCTGCCTAATGCCCTAGAAAAGCAGTGCCTTCCTTACAGTTTCCCTTGGCATCATTCAAAGCCTAACCCAAGGAACCCTCATCTCTGAGATAACTGGAACACATCCAGAATGCTCCCATCAACCAGCACCTGACCTGTGACTCACGTGCCCTCGTTTGTTCATGGGATGGAAAGCGACACCTGGCACCACTTCACAAATCAGTCCCAGAGTCCCAGGCCACCTGTTTTTCTTTTCCCCCAGTACAACCTTCACGTATTTCTTTTAACATAATTTACATATAATCAATATTAAAATTGAATATTTATTATCACACAGTAATTAAATACCCACATTCAGAAGGAACGTTTGTAAGATTCTTAAATACCCTTTCAACATTCCTTTATAGTTTGAAGTGACACCCCAAAAACAGTCAGTTTGCAATCCCAGGAAAAACACAAAGCTAGTCAGGTACAGAATACCTTGGCTTCCTTTGGTGAAAAAGAAAAGTTTTGGAATGGTTTCTCAATGTATGTAAAGGAAAAACAAAATTACAAGCAAAATAAGCCATAAAAATAGATTTATAGATTGGTGCACTGACTTTAAAAGTTGTTATGAAAAGTCTCCAAAACTTAGAAATAAGGCAAAAGGGTGAGGGGGGGAAGGTCCTTTCAATGTCCTGTATGGATAAAGGACATCCAAGGGTCATCTGAGGAAATATACTAAGTTCAATTTACTGTTTATTGATGAAAAGTCTCAGGGGCGCCTGGGTGGCTCAGTCAGTTAAGCATCCAACTTTGGCTCAGGTCATGATCTCTCAATTTGTGGGTTCAAGCCCCACAGGAGGCTCTGTGCTGACAGCTCAGAGCCTGGAGCCTGCTCTGGATTCTGTTATCCTCGCTCTCTGCCCCTCCCCCACTAACATTCTGTCTCTCAAAAATGAACGTTAAAAAAAAAAAATTTAAAAAGTGAAATTACATGTTAACCTTACAGAATTTTGTCTGAAAAAGATACAAATAGTGTGTGTCTGGTGAATAAGAGAATCCAATGGTTATACTTTACAACTTTGTTGGAAATTAACCACGTTCAGATTTAATCCATGAATCTTATTTTAACCTTGGCTAAAACCACCTAGTTCTAGTATGTTCTTGAGGTTACTTCATCTATAACTAGTTGGCTTGTTCATTATGCTCTCAATGAAACCTTTATTGTGTGTTCATTGTATATGTGTAGGAGTCATGATTTTTGCCTTTTTAAAATTTTTGTTTTAGCAAAGCAAAAAGAAATACCTTCTTTGAAAGCCTGGATACACCAATTTTCTCTTGTCAAATTTTTAAGGTGTTATTTGATGGAAAACTTACCATCACCATATAAAAGATCCTACTCCTATTTAGCATTAAAAACAACACTTCACTCACTATCATTTTTTAAGGAGGAGACTGGCAGGAATCACCAAAAGTGACTGTTTTATCAGCATTTTCCAACTTTTCAAGAAATAGACTATACTCATTTTTTTTTTCCTCTCTGGGGGAAAAGATAGACAATCCTGCTTTAAAGCTCAGAGGCTTATTAATAGTATTTCATCAACTTTATTTAGCCCGCTTATGTTGCCTCTTTCTTGGAAACAAAATCAAGGGTACTTCAGGCAACTCTATATGTTAAATTTGATCTGTTAAATTAGAAAAGAATCAGAAATGGGTTATTCTCTAGTTTAACTGTGAGTTGCTCTTATAAACCATGGTTTAAAAGTCCTAATTTACTCGCTCATTAGCAGCCCTAACACATGAATATATGTGAAAATGTTTGCTCCATAAAAAAATTCTCAGTATTCAAATTTAGTCACTTTTTAAGTGCTCCTAACCTTCACTAGATGAAGCCTGGACCAGAGTAGTAGGTGGAAGATGGAGACATCTGTCAGATTCTAGAAATACTTTGAAGACAGATGCAAATGGGTTTTCTAATAAATTTGCCATGAAGCACGAGAAAAAGAAGGGAGTCAGAGATGATTCCAAGTTTTTTGGTGTAATCGAAAAGACACCACTGCCAAGAACTGGCCTAACCTGACCACTTAACAGGAGATTTTAAGCACCCTCCCTCCCTTCCAAACTCCTGACTCTACCTTGTCTTTATTTTCTAAACAGTAAATGATCACCCTCCATAATTCAGTTATATAGAACATATATTGCTTATTGTGGGGCTCTCTCAAATGCAAGCTCTGTTAGGGCATAGCAGATATATTTTTGTCTGGTTTTATCCCAAGACAACCACACATTTGTCTGGATGTATCCTAAGCACCTACAACATTGCATAGCTATTTTAGCAGGTGTTCAATAAACACTGAATTTACGGATGGAAAAATTCAGGCTCCAAAAAGTTAAACAAACTTGCCTAATGTTCTATATCTAGGAAATGACAATCATGGATTTGCCTACAGGTTTTTCTGGCTCAGTCCACACCTTTCCGACTACTTCCAAATTAGACCTTGGCTAAAGTATTAAGGTCAGTATTTCTATCCTTTCAAACAGATTTCTGCCCTAGGGCTTCCTTGTTATCGTATTGTGAAGTGTGGTAGGAGGGGTTACTGATTACCAATGATTAGCTAATGGACAACACTTCTGGATTTATCAGATTGAACAGGCAGTTGCACCCAAGAGAGCAAACTAGGTTCTGGAATCAAAGGACCAGGGTTTGAGCCCAGCCTCCAGCACATTATTTGTTATGTAACCTTGAGATCAATAATCTTCCCTAGATCTCAATCTCCTGGTCTATAAAACAGATTCATTGTATCATCTGCCATTGTGGGTTCATAGATTATAGATATACAATGCAACAAGGTCAGTAATTATAATTAGCGCCATGAATATTTTATGAAGATGGCTTATAATTGGTGCAATTAAAGTAGAAAGCAATTAAACATGTTCTATCTGCTATGTCAATATATTCACCAAAAGGCATTTTATTTTTGGTGGCATTTTTCCCCCTTCCAATCCCACTGGCTTCACATCCTTCTCCACACTTTATTTTTTAATGTTTATTTATTTTGAGAGAGAGAGAGAGAGAGAGATTATTTATTTATATATGTATTATTATTATTTGTTTATTTATTTTGAGAGAGAGAGATTATTATTAAAGAGAGAGAGAGATGAGGCACAGTGGGAGTGTGGGATGGGGGGGAGGGGGGAGAGAGTAAGAAAGAATCCCAAGCAGACATGGGGCTGATCTCAGAAACCATGAGATCTTGACCTGAGCTGTAATCAAGAATTGGACACTTGCTTAACCAACTGAGCCATCCAAGTGCCTGGCCCTTCTCCACACTTTTTAAAATGTATCAATGTTTGTGATGGCATCAGCAGGGTATCATCAAAGAGAACCCTCTGTAGGTGCATCACTGACCCTTCTCAAGTCCAGAGGTTATAAACCCACATCCTCCTCCCCAGACCTGGCCTTGAGAAAACACCAAGGCTCTTCTGTTTCATTACTCTCCAGAAATTCATTTAAACTTTATTCTAAAGCATCACATCTTTGGCCAGGCCCTTACAGAAGCAAATCCAACTCATGACAATGTGCGCAGTCTCAGGTACAATCTACATACACCTAGGCAATCTACAAATGCAGCTCTCAGCTCCAGGGTCCTTCCCCACAGGGTCTGGAAGATCTCTCTGGATTCTCTCCCAGCCTTGGGTCTTCTAGAAAAGCAAAGGTCTTTCCAGCCGGTTTCCAATTCAGCTGAGGGTTTTGGGGAAAGTATTTTCTTCTCTAAAGCTTCTAATCGTCTTAATCTAACTTGACTTCCAGGCTATGAATCTGACATTTTTATCTCTGCGATGATGCAGTGCCTCTCCAGATATCCAGACCATAGTAACAAGGCATGCTGCCCTATAGCCACTGCCCTTTGGATGAATATAACTCTCTAGCTCCCAACTCACACCATCCTATGTTTTCATTCATCTGCAGATACTTCCTCGTCTATCTCCGACTTGGTTCTCACAACTTACTCTCCTCTCTGCTACCCAAATTTCTCTCAATTTTCTCTACTTTTCTATTTATCTCCGATTTCTCAACAACTTCCCTACTTTTTAGTTTAACAGACTTTTAAATAAACACAGTATAAGTGTTCTTAAAACTTATACATTATTCACAAATATATTTGTCTTTGCAAAAACAAACGCATTTAAATTGTTAAAATCAGCACAGGATGTGTCTTCTCTAGTGCTGGAAAAGTTCACTATCTTAATTTGGGAGGTGGTCGCACAGTGTATATATATACATATATATATATATATGTGTGTATATATACACACACATTCACTGAGCTGTCAACTATCTGTATACTGTACACATTATACTTAAATTTTAAAGAAATGAGTAATATTCCCTCAATAGGGAGGAGTCATCCAAAAGATGGAGGGAGGGAAAGGAAGAGTCTACCACCAAATATTCAAAGTTTTGCTTAGCAGAAAAAAGGGAAAAAAATCATAGTCTCAGATCAAGAGCACTATAGCCTCAAGTCTATTGGTAAAGACTAAATTTTCCCTTACCACTAATAAATTAATGCATCAATTATACTAAAGAATGAGGCAGATAATGAAGTTCCATGATCTTTAAAGTCTTAAGAAGAAATTCAAGGTTTTTGTTTGAAATTTATTTCCATTACAGGGGTGCCTGGGTGGCTCAGGCAGTTGAGCAGCCGACTTCGGCTCAGGTCATGATCTTGTGGCTCACGAGTTCGAGCCCTGCGTCAGGCTCTGTGCTGACAGCTTAGAGCCTGGAGCCTGTTTTGGTTTCTGTGTCTCCCTCTCTCTCTGTCCCTAACCCACTCGCATTCTGTCTCTGTCTCTCTCAAAAATAAATAAACATCAAAAAAAAATTTTTTTTTAAGAAATTTATTCCTATTACAGAGAAACACAGTGATTGCACAAAATAAAACATTAAATACAGAGACTTTTTACAAGAAACTTCAAGCTGTATCTTTCATCCATTCAAATATTAGTTGACTCCACTATGTGCCAATCACCGTGAATACTTTAGAATATGTGATTTCACATATTTCACAGGGACAATATTTTACTCCCTGATTATATTTAGTGCAATATTAAAATTCTTTTAAATCTGTCAGTTTGAGAAAATCAGGCATGGCTTTAATCTACAAAAGTTACTGAACTTAAATATGTCCTATGTATAAGGAAGGATCTGTAAAATAGATAATATGCCCCATTCAGACAATATGCATTCAGATATTTAGGCTTAAGAAACATGCACACAGAGAAGAAAATGATAAAAATTATGCTGCATTTATCTATACAAAACTTTTTCAGCTCACAGAAATCTACACACAAAGAAGTGTGGCACAGTGTGTCAAAGTTAACCATTTACCTTTGCCATCTTCTCTGCCAGCTGCAAACGACCATCAAGTTCCCTTCTGATCTGAGCAGCTTGCTCATCTGCATTGTCCAGCTTTAAGACAGAAATTACACATATGTGATTACTTAACGGCAGTGACCTACAGTTTAAAGTGAAGATTTAAAGACTCGATTTTTGTTTTTAATAAATTCTCTCAGCTACCTATTGAGAACACAGAACAATGTTTAATTAGGTCAGCAGTCCAATTAAATTTCTTGGGCACCTTTCATTTTAGTTTTGTTCACAAAAAAATTATCCGATTGCTAAAAAAGTTATTCAGTTGCTATAAAAGTTATTCAATTGCTAAGAATCATAGCTCAGTTTACCAAATTCTAATCATAATCATTCTTTGCCCAACGTGTCCAGTAAGCTGTTTCCTTGAAGTTATATTAAATTGGTTAAATCGTTGTTAGGCTTATTCAGTCCATCCTTCTATCTTCTTGAAGGTCAGTTCCTAAGTAGTTCCAGATAGACGAGTCTCTTGTCTTGTTCTTTCAAATTTCCACAGTGTATTTCTGGATGGTGAGATACTGAGTAATGTTTTACTTCTTCGTCAGTTTTATAACAAGTTTGTGCATTAGTGCTAAACTATAAAAGTAGCATTTGATTGACTGATAGAACTTCCTACCCTTTAAGTTTTCATATTCTCCTCATTCTAGTTTTCAACGGACTTAGACTGCCAGGAAACCCTTCTACTCTTCACAGACTGGCACCACATTAGAATTCCATTCTCTTGTACTAAATTTGATTGAAAGCAAGAAAAGCACGTGGTCATTGTTTTTTAAAGATATTTACACAGAAAATTACTTTCACTTATCCAGTGAAATAATCCTTTTCTTATAGATTTTCTTTTAACTTTTCCTCATGATTCCCTTCTCCTGAATTATTCATAATCAATTTCTTTTATTAGTTCATTATAAAAACTGCTAAACTGCGAAGGTCCTATGAGCCATGCGCAGTGGGGGATGCACTGGGTGGGCTACAGATGTTTCTCCCAACTTTAATTCCTTCCCCTTTCTTACTTCCCTCATTAAGAAAACAGGACCACACAATACAACTGTATTATAGTAAAGGCCCACCTAAAGACTGCATTAGTATTGAGTACCACATTAAATGCCTAGGAAAATAGAGATGTATTCCATTTGCTGAAGAACTACAAATGGACCAGATTACATGCTTTAACACGGCCTTAAAAAAGAAAAAAATAATGCCTGAAAAAGAGGAGTGGGGGCAATGCAGCTCAACAGGATGGTGGTGTCGGGGCAAATATAAAGAGTCAAGAAAAGGGGAAGATGTTTCACTAAGAGGGCATCAAAAGTTTGGAGGTGAGATTAATAATCTTGGTAATGGGATGGGGGGGCAGGCAGGGGAAGATACATGGAAAATGGGGCTGGAGAGAGACCAGCTACTTCATAAACTACTATTCACAGCCACATTAGGGAGTCTGGAGTTGGTTCCTACAGCAATGAGAATTCACTGAGAGGTTTTAAACAGGATTTTGGAAAGATCACTCTGTTTCCGGCACTAACAACAGGTTAGAGGGACATAGGAAGTCTATTATTTATTCATTAGAAAGAGAGATCTGGGGTTACTTTCCAAAAAATATGTTTCCAAGTTCATTTAAAAAATCAAATTCTTTTAAAAGACAAGTTTAAAAATAGCCAAGATTTTCTTAAACTAAATTGTTGGTAGACAATTTTCCATGTCATCTCAAAACAAATACAGTTAATAGGAGGCAAAGTCAAACAGTTTCTCTTCACTGTGTCCAAAGTCAAAATAATCTACATTAAAAACTAACAAAACTGTTAAAGAATACGTGGTATGTCTGTTCTAGGTAATGGAAATCAAGGTCCTAAAAACAAAAATTATGTGTAAGAACTTGTAACTATAATACTTCAAATACGTTAAACTTCACACGGAAAATGTTCCGATTTTTGCTTAAATGCTAATCAGTATGTTTCCACAGAAAACTGAAATGAAATGATTACCTGCATGTAAAGAGTTCTAGTTCCACTAAGACACAGTATTTAACATCTTAAAATAAAAGGTCATAGTTCTCCTTCAAACTCAATCACAAAACACTATTTAACATCTTCAAATATTCTTATCTTCGTATTAACAGCCCCTAATTTTAAGTGGGATTATTTGACTTACTTCTGGGTTTTGCAAGAATGATCACTGCAAGAGCCAGTTTTCTGCTACTTCTAAAAAATATTAATACCTTAAGTGCTTTTTCTGAAACAACATAGGCAGACAAAAGCAGAGCGCTGCTGTACCAAACGACCTTTGAATAGCTTTCTCTTCCTTAATAAATTTTCAGAGACCGAACACTAATTTTTGTGACTACTGGTGTCATTTGGTGAAAATAGAACAGCATAATTCCAAACACATTAACAAGAGAGGAAAAGCTAATAAAAACAACCAATAAATTCTTATCTTTGTGTCATGTAATACTAAATACAATTGAAGGAAGTAGATCAGTTGGTTAGCTTTTTTTATTTTTACACATAAGAATGTTAATGTCCCATGCGTTTTGTTTTCTTCTGAGTATTGCCTTTGTTTTCAAATTCATTGAAAGCTTATGTAATTTTTTTTTTCAACATTTATTTTTGGGACAGAGAGAGACAGCATGAACGGGCGAGGGGCAGAGAGAGAGGGAGACACAGAATTGGAAACAGGCTCCAGGCTCTGAGCCATCAGCCCAGAGCCCGACGCGGGGCTCGAACTCACGGACCGCGAGATCGTGACCTGGCTGAAGTCGGATGCTTAACTGACTGCGCCACCCAGGCGCCCCGAAAGCTTATGTAATTTTTATAAATATTTTCTTAAAAGTTGACTTAATTGAAATTAGTTTCACATGTAGTTATAAGAAATAGATACACCCACTGCCCAGTTTCCCCCAATGGCACCATCATACAAAACTATTCTAGCACAACCAGGATATTGACTTTGATATAATCATCCATCTTATCCAGAGTTTCTCAGTTTTATGCTTATTCGTCTTAACCAATTATTTATCTAGATTCACAAGTTCACCACCGCCAGTCAAACACTAAGGAGTTTTAACATCATAAGTTGCCCTTTTATAACCAGACCCATTTCCCTCCAGGAAACCTGCAGTTGGTTTTAATAATAATGCACCTCGGGGCGCCTGGGTGGCGCAGTCGGTTAAGCATCCGACTTCAGCCAGGTCACGATCTCGCGGTCCGTGAGTTCGAGCCCCGCGTCAGGCTCTGGGCTGATGGCTCGGAGCCTGGAGCCTGTTTCCGATTCTGTGTCTCCCTCTCTCTCTGCCCCTTCCCCGTTCATGCTCTGTCTCTCTCTGTCCCAAAAATAAAATAAAAATGTTGGAAAAAAAAAAAAATTTAAAAAAAAAAATAAAAAAATAATAATGCACCTCTTTTCACAATGTCTAAAAATAAATTCTAAAAAGGCAAATGGGTTTTCTTTTACTTTCCATTATGAAATTGGACATGGCCTCTTATGAGGTTAACATTTGTCAACAGTAGATGGGGGGGGGGGGGTCTCAGACCTCTTAAATCTTCAAGTTCACCACCTGAGTTCTTTCCTCAAAGCATATGGCCCTACATAGCATCTACTCATTGACAACTCCCAAGCATGTATTTCTAGCTCCAATCCTTCATTAGAGTTTGACTTACATTTCCAGCTGCCTATTTACCATTTCTGTTTGCATGAAGAGAAGGCTCATTGCACTAGTAAGCCCAAAATGCAATCTTGATTTCTAGTAGCCTGTCCCAATCACTCCTTTGATGAATAATGCCGTGTCATACAAATGCTCAAGCCCAAAGCCTACGTGTCATCTTTAACCTTCCCCTTTGTCTCACGGCCCACATCCAATCCAACCTTGAGCCATGCAGGGTGAAACCTAGATCACATTGTTGAGGCAGACCAGAATTGAGGTACTCAAGAGTTCTTGGCCAGGACCACTTTTCTGGGGAGTGGAGTGTTTCCTTAGCCACTTCAAGTACATCTCCTCTCATCAGAACACTTGTACCTATGGTTATGGTGAACATAATTCTTTTCCTTTTCTGAACCCTCAAGAGAACATGGGTTTTTATACCACTCCCTCCACCCCCTTCTCAAAAAATAAAAATAGAAAAAAAGGAGAAGTCTGGTTAGGTGGTTTACAGATGTGGGACATCAGATTTTAAAATGCTGGGTAACAGGGGCACCTGGGTGGCTCAGTAGGTTAAGCGTCCAACTTCAGCTCAGGTCATGATCTCACGGTTCATGGGTTCGAGCCCTGTGCTAGGCTCTTTGCTGACAGCTCACAGTCTGGAGCCTGCTTCAGATTCCACGTCTCCCTCTCTCTTTGCCCCTTCCCCGCTGTGTGCGTGTGCATGCGCTCTCTCAAAAATAAACATTAAGAAAAATTAAAATAAAATAAAATGCTTGGTAACACCAGAGTACCTGGGTGGCTCAGTCGGTTGAGCATCCAACTCTTGATTATGGCTCAGGTCATGAGCTCACGGTTCTTAAGATTGAGCCCCACATTGGGCTGTGTCCTGAAAGCACAGAGCTTGCTTGGGATTCTTGCTCTCTCTCAAAACAAAGAAATGTTAAAATAATAAAAGAAAAAAATTAAATGCTGGGAAACACAGCTGTCTCTAATGCCTGATTTGGGGTATGAGATAAAATGGGGATATGCAGACTCTGGAATTCATGGTAGGGACTAGACATAAGTTTCATTCCACAAGGGCAACTTCATTTTTAAACTTCATTTTCTTTTAAATTCTTGATTTCAACACTTTTTGACAATAGATGACTTAACTCACAGGTGTCCTTTCCTGGCACAGAATATTTTCCCAGTCTTTTAAAGGGAGTTATTCAACCCTGACCATAACAGATGCCCAAATGTATCTTTATTCTCTGTAATGCCCCTAGTATCCACTACACAGAGCATTTTCAATTATTAATTGAAAATTATCAATTTCAATTATCAAGAGATGTTTCTGGAATGGCAAATATTTAGTACAGGAAATGTACTTTTATTTCCCTCCTATTCATTACACAGAAATTACTGTTTCCACATT